CTTAAACATTAATAATTTAATTAATTAATAATTTACATTTATATAATAATTAATATAATGAATAAAATGTAGGTATGCGTATTTAATTATAAAGTTTAAAGTTGAATTATCTAAAAAATTCCGCGGGCATATTTGTCTAAATAACTTAAATTTTGCCCGCAGAATTTGAATATAATTTTAGTTTTGATTAGATTTCTTATTTCATATTATATTAAAAAATTAATTAAAAATTTAAAATTTCTGGAATTAATTTTGCTTGGTTTAGTTTTTGTTTAATCCACTTTATGCCAGCGAATCATATTTAATAACATTCTTTGACGGTTACGTTATTTTTAACATTAAAGAAACTATTGAGTACACGTGCAATAATCTATAGAGCGTAAATAAAAGTTATAATTTGCCTATACGTTATAAATTAATAGAGAATCTTTTGGAAAATTAAGTTTTTCCTTGAGTTCTGCATACTAAGTATTAAATTCCAATATAAAATATTAAAAAATAGTAAAAATAGAATAGGGAAAAGTACATTTTTTGTATACGTTCCTTATAAAATTTAATAGCGATTATTAATTACGATTAAGTCGTTGTCATATCTTTAAAGATTAGAGATATTACTATAAATTTTAAAGATATTTATGTATTTTAAATCTAGTTATAATGCCAATTTTAAATTTACAATTAAAATTTTAATGATCACTTTTATTTTAATATAAAATAAAATTAGGCCTATATACTGTGCAATCGTAAAGGCATTCTTCAGAGGGCGTGAAAACGGGAGGATTTCCAGAAACGAAGTAATGACGTCAAAGGCAGACTGCACGTCAAAAGAGTTAAAGTAAGTTATGACATTACAACTCGTCGAGCCATATGGGCGTGGGCCATATGGCTCAATGGAGGGACTCTACGATCACATTGTACTGTACATATATATGGAAATTTTTCCCGTGGATAGTCGTTAATTCATTAATTTTTCTGTCTTTTCTTCTTATGGGCACTAAGATTTTTTTCCTATGTCCATTATGGGTTCTGGCAATGAGGGTTATGGGAGCAGATCATCCATTAAAAATTCTTGACATTCTTCTCCCGTTCGGATTTGATCCCGGGTTCCCAGAGCGGTTTCAGACTCCTTAACCTCCTTGCCATCGACGAATTTTCGTCCCATCAAAAGCCGATTTTGCGACATGCTCATGCTCAATTTCTGCCCTTCATCTTTGTGTATGATTTCCGTCCACACGTGTAGGGATGATTAAACTGGAATGGACAGGGATATGTAAAATTTTAAAAATTTTCATCCATTTTAAGAATATTTTTTCATGCAGTAAATTCCTTAAATGGTTTTTTTTTCATATACAATTGAATCTGACACCAGTAGCAAAACTTTCTCGAATTCTTCTTTTTAATAAAATATTTAGCTTAAAAATCGTTACGAACGTATTTTCGTCACGGGGGAAGCAAGGAAATCGATTAATCTCCACGAAATTCTTGAACGAATGGGCGAAGCGAGTAAGAAGCGAAGCTCTCCTAGTATCCTATATTTATACAAATTTTTATTAAAATGTAACATAATTATTATTGTAGTATTTTCTCTAAAATATTTATTATCTTCGAATACTTCAATACAACTCTGTAATTAATAAGATTTTAATTACACTAAACTCCGTTAACTCGGACTAATAGGATAGTGAAGATTGTCTGAGTTTACGAATGCCAGAGTTAACGGAGTGTATTCTCTGATGCCTGGAAAACGAGAAGGTACAGTACAGTACAGTAATTTATTACCGTAGTATAATAAAGTATAATAAAAGGACACAGATTAGTAATGTACTGTACTTTGAAAAGATATGATTATCCCCCCGGGTATGGTTATGCTAAACCAAAATATTAATTTCGCATTTGGCTTGACATCGAGATTCTTTCTATGTATCAATAGGCTATACCAAAATATCGAATATTGAATACTGAAACATCGAATATTGTAAACATATCGATTTCGGTTTGATAAGTGGATTATCGGCACAGCACTAGCTCTGAGAAAACAGATTCGAATCCGGTCGAGCGATCTCAAAAATGTTCTGAATGATCTGAATGAATTGATCTAAACATCTGGATGTCTAGTGATAAGCACACTTAAAAGTCTTCTTTCTGATATAAGTTGCAGCAAGCAAAACTGAAATATAATAGGTTCACAATGAAGAAATTTTTATATATTTAATTACATGCAATTTACATTTAATATTCGCATTTAATATAGTTTTCTAAATTTTAAATTTTTTACATAGTAGTTTTTTTATAGTAATATTAATAAACAATTTACAAAATTATTCTTGGAGCGAATTACTTAAATTTTTATTATTTTCTTCCTTACAATTTTCTAGATGGCACTTGGAATCGAAACATGGCGGCCTTCAGTGATATGTTTACAGTCGTGTCTTAGGCAGCCACGCTAGTGAAAAATGGCTGTTAAAGTTTATTTATGTTATTTAATAAGTTCATTATTAGTTGTGTATATGCCAATGAGATGTGAAGAAAATCGGCACTCCACACTAGTTGACGAATTGTTAATGTGTATCCTTTTAAAACTGTCTAAATTAATTTATTTGAAATATTTTTATTAATTAATCAGTTATAAAATAGGGATACTTTGAACATATCTGAATAAGTTTCGGATCGTTTTATTATTTTTCATCAAAATAATGTTCTTCTCATAATTAAAAGCAAAGAATTAATAGAAATATTACTAGAAATAATATGAGTATTTTTTAATAAGAAGATTTAATATAATAAAATTGGGGTTAAAGATTCATATTATTGTCATACTGAACGATTTCATCCGAAAATAAAAACACAAAATTAATATTATTTTCATTCAGTCATATAGTTTATTAAAATAGGCTTATTAACAAATTCTTATTATTTAATACTACAGTTTAATGTAAAAAGTAAGTATTTTTAAAAATTATATATTTGGTCATGAGAAGAACAAGAAAATTATAAAAATCAGATGGTTACATGGTTATTTGAAACCAATTATTTTTTATTTTTAGTTTTTTCTTGCTACAATCTACTAAAAATATCAGTTGGCTTATTCTTTTTCATGAGCTGATCCTCACTCAACTAATGGTTGTTCCTGTTTTATTGAAACGTCTAAAAAGTTTACTAAAAAAGATTTCTCTGGAGAAATAAGTAAATGTATCTGGGGCAGTTTATATGTAATCTTTTAAATTTACCAGAAAACAATTTCAACACTTTGGTAAAACATTTTTTCTACTTTTTAAGATGAGGCTTTTTAAGGATAAGCTCGAAGAAAATTCAAAAATGATAATTCAATATTAGTAACTGATGTTAGCAAATGTATTTAAATAGAAATATTGAGTAAAACCCTACTCAGTATTGAAAAGTATTGTTAACTTATTGATATTAGCTTACTGATTAAATCACTGATAATTCCTCTATTTAGAATTTTTTCCTCTGAAAATTCACACTTTCTATTTCATAATTTTTATTTCATTTAAATATTAAAATTATTGAGTTTGTTGTTTTGTTTATTTTATAATTAATTTTTGTAAATTTGTAGTATAATGATTTCATATATAATGATGAGACTTTTTAACATAACATCAATATACTTAGTGAAATTCCTTTTTTTTTATTACATTTAATTGAAGTTTTTATAATATGATGTATTTAATTCTTCTTATAAATAAATAATAAACTGATTGTTAGTATATTAGAATAAGAATTTTTTTCTCCATATAGAAAGTGTAAATTAATATTTCATATAGCATACAATTGCTATGTTGGAAAAATTATTTTGTTGCTCAAATAAACAGTTTTGGGTTATATATATTACTGATACAGAACAAAATTTTCACAGAATGCAATTGTATGAATTGAAAGTAAATATATGAATAATGAATTAAGTGTTTCAATAAAGTATATTTTTAACTATAAATTTTAGAGATACAGATGTCTAAATTTCTGTAGGCTATATCGTGATTGTGTACTGTATCATGACACACAATAATTCTTGTAATATATTTATATTTCAAACTGAATAGCTTGTCTCTAATATTATTATTATGTTGGGTGTAGTGGGTTATACTCGGTTCACACCAGTGGCTGTGTACTAGGCCGGACCAGAGTCAAGGCATAGCAACCAAGAACAAAAATTAAATAAGTGTGTCAGTGTCTGTATTCAGGAATTTCCTAACAATATGGCATGTATTCAATATAGTGGCCTTCTGTAGTGTTATGTATGTATTTCTATTCAATTGTAATGTTCCCGGCTTTTGTGTAGTGTGTGTGGTATCACACCTGTACAGGACAGAAAAACAGGTATGATAAGCATCCTTTCCATCCTCCACAGATGCCTTATTTCCTGGGTGAGTTCTATGTACTTGCTAATTTTTTCAGTGCTTGTGTTTTGTACATTGTGAGTGTTTGGAATGGCTATGTCTACAATGCATGTGATTTTATTGTGTTTGTCAATGAGTGTGATGTCTGGTCTGCTGTGGTAAATTGTTTTATCTGTGATTATGGCTCTATCATAGTACATTTTGTGCGTGTTGTTTTCCAATACTGTTTGTGATATATACTTGTAGTATGGTTCATGGATGTCTAATAATTTTTGCTTCTTTGTAAGCTCTTGGTGTATTATATTTGCTACTTGATTATGTCTGTGTAAATAATCTGTCTGTGCCAAGAGCTTGCAACCAGAAGTGATGTGTCAGGGCCCGCTCTAGGGGTGGGCAACCCGGACATTTGTCCGGGGCGCCAAAGTTTAGGGTGCCATTTTGGTTGTAAGTGTGAGAAAAATATTGATGTGTTAATAAGAGACGAGGCCTCGGGTTTATTAAATTGTATTAAACAGTTTAAGTCTTTGTGTTCACTAGTTATTTGGCATATAATACTAAATTCCATTAATCCAATAAGCAAGTTGATGCAAACAAAAGATTTTGATCTATCCTTTGCACTTGATCTTTTACAAAACTGCAAAATATTTTTTAAGAATCTTCGATCGGATTTGTCCTTCGATGAAACTATTATTGATGCAAAAGAACTTGCTACCGAAAATGATGTGGAGGCTAATTTTGAATCAGCAATAACACGACACCACGTTAGAAGGAAAAGCAACTTCTTATACGAAGCACGNAAGCAAGTTGATGCAAACAAAAGATTTTGATCTATCCTTTGCACTTGATCTTTTACAAAACTGCAAAATATTTTTTAAGAATCTTCGATCGGATTTGTCCTTCGATGAAACTATTATTGATGCAAAAGAACTTGCTACCGAAAATGATGTGGAGGCTAATTTTGAATCAGCAATAACACGACACCACGTTAGAAGGAAAAGCAACTTCTTATACGAAGCACGAGATAAACCCATCAAAGATCCAAAAGAAAAATATAAAATAGATTTTTTTTACAATCAATCAAGCACTAAATGCACTAGATGCTAGATTTGAACAACTTAGTAATCATAGTAATTATTTTCAATTCTTATATAATATATACGATTTAAATGTCATGACCAAAGAAATTCTACTAAAACACTGTAAGAATTTAGAATGCATTTTAACTGATGGTGATTCTGTTGACATAAATGGGGTAGAATTAGCAGAGAAAATTTCAGCATTATCTGCGCTTTTGGACAAAAGAGAAAGCCTAAGCAATGTACTGAGCTTAATTACAAAGTTAAATTTTGCCCTAAATCTTACTATTGCTTTAAGAATATTGCTAACGATACCAATAACTGTAGCAAGTGGCGAAAGGAGTTTCTCTAAGTTAAAATTAATTAAGAACTTTTTACGTTCGGCTACTACACAAAATCGTCTTAATTAATAATTTGG